TTTTAGTTTGCTTAGTTTAGCTTGTAAATAATTCATCACCGCGCAACACTTTACGTCTCACTTTTAAAAACCTGGGTCATCTCCGGCAAAGATTCTCCAGTCTTGAGGTTTTTGTAATCAGGTGAATGAGTAACTATCAGATTGAGATAGATTTAATATCCTCTTTAAAGTGATCACAAAGTCTTAGCGATCTTGTCAAGAAAATGAGAAGAAGAAGATTTCTTTAACGAGCCTGAAACGATGAGACCAAGAAATTATTAACTGAAAGTGACATGCCATATCAAAAAGGAGGCCTGCTTGGTTATTACTCACTTGGAGTAGGCTTCGAATGCAGTACTAATCGAGAGTTGTCCGGGCTCAACCGTGTTCGTTAAAACGACGCTGTCTGAATGTCGTGTAGGCATTCCCAATTGTTTCGCGACGGCACTGAATCACATACACCTCACTCGGACAAGTATACAGTATGTGCTTCAAGACACCGTGTCGTTTAACAGCGTTCGGACAGCGGCGGACTGATGCGGGGCACATCGGACCTGATGTGCGGGCAATCAGCAAGTGTCAGTCGTATCCGTCCCCCGTCACACTTTCTGAAGCAATGTGAAGAGTCACAAACGGGTGGAAGCCGCAGTCGTTGCTGTTGACCATGACGACTCGCGCTGTGGTGGCAGCGCAAGTTTGCAGCGAGCGCCGCCCCGCCGCTGTCCTGGCAGCCTTCGTGAGACAGACTCTGCAATCCGAAGCGAGTCGGCTCGGTCGAGAAGAGGAGTGGCGGACGGGAAATGCCTGGCCGGTCGGCAAGCAGGTGCACTCGCAACGACAAAGCCGCCTGTCTTCCGATCCGTACATGTACAGCTATGCTTGACTACCGAAACGACGGGATCACGACGACGACCGAGTAAACGATGCCGAACGTCCGCAGCGAGCAGCGCTGAGGAGCCCGCCGCCAGCTTTCGCCAATCGACACTGTTCCAAAGGGATCCACGCCAATCGGCGGCTGCTCCACGCAACGCATGGCCTGTGTGTGCGCATCGGGACCTCTCCCTCTTCTCTGCGCGTTGTTCTTTTGCGCCTAGCGCAACTCAAGGCGCCCTTGTGCTGGTTAGCACGCGGCCGGCACGCCGGCGGCGACTATCAACAGTACAAGAGACGCGACCAGACTTACGGCTATCGACCAGATCGCTCAACTTGCTTCTGCATGGGCAATATGCCGCTCGATTCGAGTCGTACTTGATCTTTGTAAGTCTCTCAAGATTCAGAAATAGTCTAAACCATGGTTTTATGCTACAGAAAAGGGAGTCATCACTCGATCGTGTTGCTGACATCGGTTGAGAGATACGACGTTGGGCTGCAAGTATCCGTTCGTCTTGGTGGTCCCCGGTGCTGTGGCTGTGGCAACTTAATGCCGTCGCAGATTCGACTCGGACACGCCAGCCATTCTCGGCGCGGTTGACATCCCATCAGCTCATCCAATTCGATAGTAGCATACTCGTACGTAGGCGACGTTACTGCTTCGAGCCCCACGTTGCACCGACCAGCAAACTCATAGCACGCGTCCAACAGCAGCAACAACCACTTGCTGCTTTGCCTAAGTGATCTGCTCGCCCGGTTGCACTTGTCTTCGCACGTGGATCGGCCAGGTACAATAGCTGCGTGTCCTCGACCCCCAGCTCAAGAACTCAAACGCCTCGACCAACCAGACTCCGTAATGCTGATGGAGCACCGCCACACACAAGGACGACCGAGCTGGACGTCTTCAGTATACTCAACCACGCCGTCGACGACGGCCACGACCGGCACCTCATTAATCTACGACGTGCTGCGTCCGGCCACCTATTCGAGCGAGAATTCGCAATACCAGTCACAGCAGCAGCATTCGCAGTACTCTCAGGATCAGGATAACACCTACCGATATGCATACAATGAGCCCCCGCGCCCTGCATTCACGCCGTTGCCTCCACCGCCACGCGACGACCAGCTCGCCAGTCGGCTGCGGTATCCGCCGCCCAGTTTGCCGCGTCCGATGATCGGCGGATCCCTGTCGCCTCATTACAGGACGCTAGATAAGACTTCGCCAATGTCGGCCGTTGTCACGCCCGCCTTCGTGGTCGCCAAGCCTGGAGGCCTCGCCACACCCAAACGCGCCACGGACGAAGAGCGACGTGCGAAGCATCGGGAAGCCCAGCGGAGGTTCGTTAAGCGGAAGAAGGTGAGACCGTGAGGCGTTCGCGTGATTTTTATTGCTTCCGGTCTTACAAAGATTTCCATTTTGTGGCTTGTAGATCGAGATGCTTCAACTGAAGCAGTTGGCGGTGGAGCTCGAGAAGCGACACGATCTACTGCAAGTGGTGAGCGAACGCGAGGCTCTGGCCCGCGAGAACCAGATTTTGATGCAGCAACTAGAAGCACAGAAAGAGGAGGCTTGCGAGTCCCCGACGAGTACGAATCAGAAGGTAGGTCTCCACTCCTTGTTAGTGTTTCGGTGCGCATGAGGACTGATGGTTGCGTTTTCGGTGGTGTCAAAACAGGAGGTCCCAGTAAAGGAGGAAGGCCCGGAGAAAGAACACTCACGTCCAGAGATCAAGTGGAAGGCGCAGACATTCGAGTGGTGAGCTACTTCCGATTCAGAACGCCCCTCAAATAAAGTTACTGCTGTTGATACATGTAGCACACAAAGGCAAATGGTGAGTATCCAAGACCATCCTCCTCAGCCAGTACTCGAAAGCTTTCTACGCAGCAAATCCCGATTAATCTTCCCCCGTCTTACTCACCTCCGCCAGTACAACGCAGGTGTAGCTTATCGATCTAAGGATCCATGGTTTGGCGCGAAAACATTTCCTTGGCAATGATCATGCGCTGAATTTGAGACGTGCCCTCGTAGATCTGGTAAATCTTGGCGTCGCGGAACAGCTTCTCGACAGGGTACTCGGTGTTGAAACCAGCGCCGCCGAAGATCTGAATGGCATCCGTGGTCACCTGGTTGGCGTGGTCGCCAGCGAAGCGCTTGGCCATGGACGCGTACATTGTGTTCTTGCGGCCACAGTCGATCTCGTACGCGGCCTTGTACGTCAACTGACGGCCAGCTTCAATACCCGTAGCCATGTCGGCCAGCATGAACTGGATGGCCTGGTGCATAGCAATAGGTGCGCCCATTGTCTTGCGCTCTAGTGCGTACTTACGGGCCTCATCGAAGGCACGACGCGCCAGTCCGACAGCACCGATGGCCACGGGCGGACGGGTGATGTCGAAGGCTTGCATGGCGATCTTGAAGCCGTAGCCGACGTCGCCCAGCACGTTCTCCTCCGGCACCGCGACATCTTCGAAGGTGATGCCGCGAGTGTCAGAGCAGCGCTGGCCGATGTTGATTTCTTTGCGGCCAACGCTAATACCGGGCGTATCGGCGTCCACGATGAAGCCCGTGAAGGCCGAGCCGGCGTTGGCGTTCGGGTCCGTTTTGGCCAGCACGAAGTACCACTTGGCCACACCGCCGTTGGTGATCCACATCTTGGAGCCGTTGATAACCCACTTGTCTCCCTTCTTGACGGCCGTCGTCTTGGCACCGGCCACGTCCGAGCCGGCGCCAGGTTCGGTGACACAGTAGGCGGCCTGCACGGGCTCCTCCACGAGACGGCCCAGGTACTTTCGGTTTTGTTCGTCTGAGCCGGCCACCAGCAGCGGAGCTGTGGCCAGGCCGTTAGCCTCCATGGCTGTGGCCATACCTGTGCAGCCGTAGGCCAGCTCCTCGCCGATAATGCAGCCGTCCAACGAGCCAAGACCCAGGCCGCCGAACTTCTCAGGCACGTGTGTGTTGACGAGGCCCAGTTCCCAGGCCTTCTCGAAGATCTCCTGCGGGTACTCCATGGTCTGGTCATAGTGTCTCTCCTTTGGGATCATTTCTTCGCGTGCGAACTTGCGGGCCAACTCCTGGAACTCGCGCTGGTCGTCCGATAGCTTGAGCGAGAAGGCCGAGAACTTGGAGTCGTCAATGTGCTGGCCCAGCGCAAAGCTGCGCGTGCCCGTCGGGCGCAGTAGGCGCGAGGCTTGACGGAGTGACTTGGCTGGCAACATCGTTGGCAAAGGACGTTAGATTCTCAAATGGGCCGAGTTCATCAAGATCTTATTGCTGACGTCAATGTCCAAGTGGAGAACCGACGTGAACTGTAAGACTTTATGCAGTGAGTGTTTTTTTTTTGATTGAGGGAAGCAATCAATTAATTAAGAAACCTGTGATTAATGATAATGTGAGAACTAATATCACTAAAGAAGCTCACCAACTTCAACTAAACTATTTCTTTATAATAAGTTACAAATTCAAAGTTCCTTGTTCAGCATGTCAACGCTTGTGACATCATCACTGCTGCGAATGCCAACTGCGCTAAGAACCACTGCTGCAACCATGTTCTTGCTGCGTCGCTGCATCCGCATCGAGCTGCTTGCTCTCGTAGAACGCCAAAATTGTCGTTCCAGTAGCCGTTGAGTGTGCGCGCGGGATCGAAGTACTGATCTTGTGGCGCGTAAACACCGTCGCACTGCTTGTACATTGCGTCGATGAGCGGCTGGCACTTGGGCGGGCACTCAAAGTTGGTCGGATCACATGCTAAGCAAGACCCGTACGTGGATCCGTTGCCTTCTGCAGCGAGTTGCTCGGCTGCAAACCCACATGGGGCCCACGACTCGCCCTCGGGCGACGGATTAACGTACGAAGAAGCATCGGCCTTCTTCACAGCGTTCAGCAGTAGAATGGCAAATAGAATCCACCCCAAGCAATGAAGCGGTCCGTGGACAGCAATGGCTAGCGCAGTTTGCTTCATTTCGTCCTGATGCTTGTCACCAAAGTTGAAATGCCAAAGCTCAACTTGGAAATCACTTGGCAAAGTTGGTAAAGTATTTTTATCACGTGACACAATGCATTTTTGGCAACAGGGACGATTCTCACTCGTGTTAAGAATCTAATTGACACCACGCACTGTCGTTTCGCAGTGCAAATCTTTGTCATTTGCCTTTTGTTGTCCATGCATCTCTAGTAGCTGCGGCCCCAGAGCACCCAGCACTTGGCCGGCTTGCCACTAATGAAGCACTTGGTGTCAGCAGTCACTGGGCTCTCGTCGTTCTTCTTGTACGGGATGCACAGCGTCTTCGCCGCAGCACTGGTGGCCGTGTTCTCGGCCTCGTCCTCCAGACCCATGAGAGCCAGCGATTCCTCGCGAGACTTGGTCTTGACAATCTCCTCCCACTCGATCTCGTCGCAGAACGGAGTCAGCGCCATGCAGCCGTCCTGGAGCGACGGCACAAAGTCCTTCCAGTCCGTCACTTCGCGGATGTGGCTATCACGCTGGGCCGTGGCCCGCTCCAGCATTTCCTGCTGGATCTGCTCCAACAGCGCCGGGATGCGGGTGGCCAGCTCGGCCTCCGGGATGTCCTCCTTGGCCCCGTTGTCACGACGCACCACACGCACCTGCTTCTTGGCAATATCCTTGGGGCCAACCTCGAAACGCAGCGGAACACCCTTGAGTTCCCAGTGGTTGTACTTCCAGCCGGGCGTGTACACACGACGCTTGTCGGCTTCGATACGAACGCCAGCGGCGCTCAACTTGGCCACGATCTCGTCGGCCTTGGCGAAAATCTCCTCCACTTCGTCCTGGTTCTTAAACGGAATGGGCACGACAATGACCTGCGTGGGGGCCACTCGGGGAGGCAGCACCAGGCCCTTGTCGTCACCGTGGACCATGATCATGACACCCAGCGAGCGCGTGGTGAAACCCCACGAGTTCTGCCACGGGATGAGCTTCTTGCCGTCCTCGTACTCGGCCGTAATGCCGAACATCTTGCCAAAGTTCTGGCCGAGCATGTGCGACGTGGCGGCCTGGATCCCACGGCCCGTGGCGGGGATGAAGCCCTCGATCGTCGTGGTGTAGTCGGCGCCAGCGAATTTCTCCTTCTCCGTCTTCACACCCTTAATCATGGGCACGGCCAGCAGCTCCTCGTAGCAGGCCGCGTAGAAATCCAGCACGGCGCGCACTTCTTCGTCGGCTTCTGCCTTGGTAGCGTGGGCTGTGTGGCCCTCTTGCCACAGGAACTCGCGCGTGCGGAGGAACGGCGTGGGGTTCTTGAACTCCCAACGCACCACGTTGTTCCACTGGTTGAGCTTCATCGGAAGATCGCGGTGGCTACGGATCCAGTTCTTAAAGGCCGGGTACATGATGGTCTCACTGGTAGGGCGGATGGCAATAGGGTCCTTCAAATCCGAGTTGCCGGACTTGGTCACCCAGGCCACTTCGGGGGCGAATCCCTCCAGATGATCCTTCTCCTTCTCGAGCTTCTCCTTAGTGACAAACATTGGGAAATAGCAGTTCTTGACGCCGATAGCCTTGAGATTGCGGTCCAAAAACTGCTGCACACGCTCCCAGATCTCGTACGAGTACGGGCGGAGGATGTAGCACCCAGAAACGTCGTAGTAGTCGATCATACCGGACTTGGTGATGGCGTCCGTGTACCAGTCGGCGAAGTTTTCCTTCTTGGTGACAGACATGCCCTCGTTGGCCTTCTGTTCTACCGGTTTCTTCTTCTCCTCCTTCTTGGCCTTAGGGGCCTTCGTCTTCTCAGTCGCGGCCGACGGTTCTTCCGTCTGGGCCGCAAAGTCCACGACGATGGGCTCGTGGTTGTAGTGCTTGACGAACTTTAGCAGATCGTCCGACTTGATGCTGTACGTCTGGTCGTTGCGCAGCGGGTGGCAGTTGACCTGCGTGGTGTCCAGTAGCGCCTTGTCCAGCACAAAACGCACCTCGTTCTTGGCGTCGTGCATGACGCAGAGGGGCGAGACGGAGCCCTTGGTCACTTTAAGCGTATTGGCCAGCACGTCTTCTGTGGCAAAGCGCAAGTTCCACTTCTTGCCGCCGATACCGGCCGCATGCAGACGCGCACCGAGCTTCTTAGTGTCCACGACGGTGGTGGGGGCGGCCGTCACGAGGAACAGACCTTCCTTCTTGTCCTTAAACACGAGGTTCTTCGTCGAAAGGCCGGGCAAGTGGCTCAATTCGGCGATCACGTCTTCGGTGGTGGGAAGTTCGCGGTGCTCGTGCTTCTCGTACGCGATGGAGAGCGACGTCAGCGCCGCGGCGACCTCTACATCGGCCACGGACTTGTCCAGCGTCGCCATGGTGCAAAGGGGGAGGTGGGTACAGATGGAGAGCTTTCTCGGAATGCTTGGATGCGCCAGTCGTCTCCTGACCGGGTTTGAACAGGCTTGTTAAGAGATATTACTCGAGTAACGTATGAATGATGAAAACTGGGACGGTCTAAGCGGGACAACGCCGTGATAAACGGCGATGTGGGCCACATAGTGGCGGCTTTAACTTGAAAAAGTCAACTTTACCCTACCAGCATGACAGAACACCGTCGTAACTAACGACTCGTAAAGTCTATCGGTATCGATGGACTAGCAGCGTGGCCATCTCGGCCACTGCAGCCGCGGCGACATCGGTCACCGGTAAAGACGCTCGTCAACCGCATGAAAGCTTTTTTTCGACTGTGTCCATTCCTTGTTGCGTGCCATGCATTGTCCGCGGGGAAACCTTCGGTTGGTGGTGAGGCCGTCGCAAATCTGGCTCATGGGGCAGTTTACTGCGCCAGACATTCCTCACCGTTTGCGGACAATGAACTGCAATCCACCGCAGAGCATCAATCGCAGTGCAGTGTGATGCATCGTCTTTTTCTCGCTCGAATTGATCTCGCTGCAAATTGCAGCCTGCAATGCAAGTTGGTCACCCCGAAAGCCGCTGCGCTCAAGTCGGAGGGTTGGCGTCCGCAGCTTGGGAGCTGTCACAACCTCATGGCAGGCATGAAAGTGAACATCCCAGCGGGTACCAGCTGGCCGTTCATGCGGAAAAGGCTAAACGATGGGGACTTATCGATCGAGGCGGAGGGATAGTCAGTCCGGTGCCACGTACGTATCGCACAAGCAGATTTCCCCCTTTGACGCGCGAAGATGACGAAGTTCCTGCTCGTAGCGACCGCGGTGGTGGCGGCCCTGGCCTGTAGTCTGTCGGCCGTCGAGGCGCTGGACCGCGACAAGATGCTGGACGTGGTAGGCACGGTGCACGGCAACCGCCACATTGTGGTCGAGTACGACGACCTGGAGGAGGATCGCGAGGAACGCAAGTGCTACGGCCACTTTACACGGGACATCGACCCGGTGTGCGGCTCGAACGGCAAGAAATACACCAACCTCAGCATGTTTAACTACCGCAAGTGCATGATGAAGATCCAGGAGGACACGGAGATCCAGCTCGTGGACATGGACTTCTGCAAGGACGCCGAGATGGAGGACATGGAGCACATCGACGAGGACGATGCGTCCTAAACGCGCAAGGCATTTGGAAGGGAGGAGGGACTTGTCTAACGTACCGCATAAGGCTACCGACGGTGTTTAGCAGAGACCTTGGCTGTCCACCAAGAGTTTCATGTGACGAGTCCGCTGAGGCGCTTAGGGACGTAGTGGGTCGCCTGCGCATTAGGTGGCGGCCACGCGTCCGTGTATGATAATTCAGCAACATGAAATATGTCTATTCGATGTGGTCTTGGTCTTGGCTTCACTTTGGGAGGTGAACGGATCATTAGGGCTATCGCGAAGCAGATCCCATGAGCCACAGTATGTAACAACGCGACACCGCGCCATCCGCTGAAAATTGGCCAGTTGGATAATTGAATAGAGCAGCGGTGGCGGTGAAGGGCGTGGGCTTCCAGAACTGTTATCTCGACGCGCGGCACAGGAGGAATCGGATCAAGATGCAGACGAGTGTGGTCATGACGGCGGTGGTGACGTTGGCAGCGGTTTGTTTGGCGGGAGTGAGCGCGACGCCAGCACAGAATATGCTACGGGTGGTGAGCGAGGTGCACGCGCATCCGGATGTCTTTGTGAATGGTGAGGAGAAGCGAGCGAAGCGGCATGGACACTGCCACGATACGGGCGCCGAGAACGAGGACCCCGTGTGCGCATCCAACGGCAGGCAGTATTTGAACGACGAGGTGTTCGAGTTCCACAAGTGCCTCATTCAGGCAGAGTACGGCGAGATTATCGAGATCGTGGACATGGATATCTGCAGAAACGCCAAGAAGGAGGACGACGAACACCCGGACGTCCCCGATATCGACTACATGTAAGAGGTATTCGTCGACAAAGTATTTGGTGGACTAAGGACTCGGCCACGCGACGTTTACAGCCGTGAGCCGGGCTGTTTCGACGATGGAGCGTCGAGGAGGACCGAGAAGTTATTGAGTACGTTCGCTGTGGCGAGTACGTATAGACAGCGTTGGGTTAGCATTTGGTGCGGAGAGCTTCGCGTTCGATGGATAGCGTGGAGATCCGACCGAACTGGTCAAGTGCGCGTCCCTGTAGGATAATGCAACTACTTAAAAACATGAATGAAACAAGCTTGAAAATGGCTGCGTTTCAACCTACACACGCTGGCACAGACCTTCTCTTCCATTCAGAATGCGTTTTGCGCAACTGGTTACTAGTCGGACCGACTGCCGGTGTCACGGTGAGCAGATCTCGATGAGGTTCACGACACCATCACAAAGATTGCAGCACATGTTTGCGTACAACACTCAGCTCAGTGAGCAGTGCTCACTGTAGAAATCCTCCGAGTTCGATCACAGCTCCAGCATGAAAGCGTTTCTAGCCGTAGCTGCTCTGCTGTTAGCGTGTGCACCCGTGGAAGCTCTTGACCGTGAGCATAGACTGCGTGTAGTGAGTTCTGTTCACGCGAACGAACGCGTGCTGGTGAGCGACCAGGAGGAGCGGGAAAGGAGCCACGGCAACTGTGTGGATGACGGTACGCGCAACCAGGATCCCGTATGTGCGTCGAACGGCAAGAAATACCTCAACATGAACCGCTTTGAGTACAACAAATGCCTCATCAAGGCGGAGGACGGTGAAGACATCACGATCGTGGACCTGGAATTCTGCAGGGAGGCCATGCTCGAGGACATCAAGAGCGAGGGCTTATGAGCAGGAAGCGACGACTAACGCCGACGCAGTAAGTAGCTTACGTCTAGACACTCAGTACCGTATTCAAATAATTATCTTTTTTCTCTTTAACACGGTGGCAAGTGGTTGCGCTGCAGTACTATCAATCGACGGTCTTCTCCGCCGATGGCGTTCCAGAGTTTCCGTGGCGTCTTGTCCTTAGGTGGCACGGGTGCCTGGTGTTTGCAGTAAAACAATGGCGATTCTGCAGAGCCCAAACCAAGACCCAACGTTGGTAGACTTTCTGCTGGGTAGTGACACTCTTCACTCGAAGTGATCGAGCTGTCGTTGTTCTCATTAGAAGGGCGGCATTTTGTGAGGGACGATCGTGGACTCGGTCCTAGTGTCTGGAGTACCAGCGGTGACGACGGATTCTGGCATCTCTTTCGTCGGTACGACAGTCCTCGTTGAGGAGCCCGCATGAGCTTCTGATACGGAGATAATGGTCTGGATAGAAGACATGTTAGCTCTGTCAAGATACTACGCAGTACCAGTTGTTTGGAAGCAGGGAAACTCACAGAATTTTATCACGCCAGTCCTCCTCCTGTTGGTCCGTGGCGGAGTCATTCGACTTTATCCTATTTGTTAAAGCGGGAACCAGTGGGGTGGCCTGCAACAATAACATTAGAATTCCAGAAAATGGTTTGACGACTTTAGAAGGGTGGGTGCTGGGCTGTACCTGACTGTTATTGTTGAAGATACCTAGACCGCTGGAAGGCATCCTTGAAAACTTGAGACTACGCAGCACAGGCGGTCGCAGATTCGCAGCTTCAACGGGTCGCCGGATGACGTGTGCAAAAAGTTGTTTCGCCGATGTCTCGGGGTCTGGCGGTCTAATAGGCAAGATAATCTTCTGCGGTGGTGGTAAAACTGTATTTGCAGGCACGGGAACCTCAATCGTTGCAATTTCCTGATTCGAAAGTACCGGTTCGAGCGCTGGGGCGTTTGAAACATTTTCCAGTTGATTGGTCACTTCAATTTTTGTATCGTGAGCCGTATCCTGAATCCGCCGTCGTGGAGATGGTTTTGGTATTTTATCGGGTAATATATCGCGTTTCGAGATGAAAAAAGTTCCTTTTGTAAGTCCAGCCAATAAATCACCGTCAGCATTGAGGAAACATAAACTACCAATTGCCGTGGCCAACGTCACTTGACGAAGCAGAACTCGCTGTTGGTCCCAAACTTTGACAATAGCGTCGACACTTACAGTCAATATCATATTCTTTTCATCTAGAAAGTCCCCGGCGCTCACAGTAGTATTGTGGTGGTCATCTGCGCCCATGAACGCTTCAACGCTTGCAGCTTGGTAGCCTATCGCGTGCAAAACAACGCGACCATCGTCGTAGCCGCTTAAAATGAGCTCAGAGAGTGGCGATAACGCGAATACCGTCGGCGGTTGCCCGAGTTCAAGCACGTTACGCAGCGCAAACTCCGGTTGAAGACTCCACAGATGCACTCGACCAGCATCATCCAAAGTTACTAGCAGAGGAGAAGAAGCACTAGCGCTAATATCCACAATAGGAGCGTCGTGTGCGTCAAGCGTTAGCGCGGCCTCGCGTCCTCCACGCAGACCTGTATGCCAGAAAAGTAGCTGCCCAAAGTCGCTGCCGCACGCTATCCATTCCCACTCGGAGTGAATTAGAGCGTTACGACGTAGAAGCGGTGGTACGGATGGCACTGGAGCCCCGGCAGAGCCAAAGTTGGACTGCCGGCGATGTCGCGCTGATCTCCCGGTTCTTGCTTGTGGACGGTCCGATGGTACAGCACTAAAAACTGGTGGAAATGGGCATACACAAATGCAACGCAGAGCTGTATCGGTACTGTTGCTTCGATTACCAGTAAAGTTGGAGCTTTCGAGAGTTTCGGAGTTGTTTCCTTTCAGGGAGCTTCGTGCGCTGATTCCACCAGGTTCACTAGCGACCGTGGGCGAGTTGAGATCAATGACGCGTTCTATGCTACTTGTTGTGGCTTCTGCGTCTTCCTGCAGTTCGATTCCATCATTGTTGCCATCATCTGCGGAATTTCCAGTGTGTCGACGGGGAGATGCATTCACAATGAGCAACTTCTGGCTGCTTAGAAGTAGAAACAAGTGCTGCGATACAGGATGAAGAGCGAATGCTACAAGGTCGAGGGCTTGTTCGTCTGGGATCCACGTGAAGCTAGGCGCTTCGTTCTGCATGCGCCCAGTAAACACGCGGATCGTTTTATCCATACAGACAAGCAGAACCAATTGTTTAGTTTTTGCTGAGTTGTGTTCATCATCATCTGAGTCGAAGCTTTCGTTCTCATTCTTGTCACTGACTCCATTTTGAAGACGTCCTTTACTCAGACCTTTCACAGGGAACACTACGCGCTGCAGTATGCAGACGGGCACTTGGCACGGCTGGTGTTCTTTCAGAATAGACAAGATGTTGTAGATCTTGACGGTGTTGCGAAGCTGGCAACAGAACCGACCGGGCAGCTCCGATGCGCGAGAACTCGCAGGAGCTAGCAATCGCAACGCATGTACACTGTGGCCAACGTTGAGACGGTGTGCTTGACGGCGTGCCTCGAGGTCCCACAGTCTCACAGAACCGTCAAGAGAGCTCGATATCACGAGACGAGACGCTGCGTGCTCCGTCAGACTTGTGACTGTCTGGGTATGATCCTTGAAAACGTGGACGATCGAATTGGGGTGAAGCGAGACCACAATGATAGCGCCACTGCTGGTGCCGCAAACGAGATACTTGGCGCGTTCTTGGACAACGAAGGCTGTCAAGGTGCCGTGTTCTGCTGGAAACAGGTCGTCCCAGCGTTCGAGATGAGCCCCGTCGACCGTATTGAAGACGTCGATACAGTGTCTAGTCTGTGCATACAACCGTGTGCTCTCAGGACCAAGTTGAAGGCGTTCCACCCATTCTGCACGACCCAATGAGTCTTTAGGTGACTTGGTCTGCGGTCTATTACGACCTGAATTGGTAACGACAGTGCCGTGGAAGAACTTTGGCAGATGGGTAAATTCGTAGTGAGCATTGAGAGCTCCTTCCGGCATACCCGACGGTCGTGGCTTGATCTGCCACGCTGTACAGCCGTCCACGCCCCCACAGAGCAGTCGATTATGTTGGCCATCGAAGGCCATACTGAGAACGGTGCCCCGACCTGTGAAGAGAGCTGCGAGTTCGTTGAGGTTTGGATCGTACAACCGCAGAGCTCCATCAAGTGCCGAAGCCACAAAGAGTTGGCGAGCGTCGATGTATGCGATGGCCTGGATGAATCGAGATGTACGGGCCGGGAGACTCACGACGCGTAGTTGGCCGCCAGTGTGAGCGCGCCAAAGCCTCAAACATGTTTCGTCTACCGACACGAAGGTGTCCTGATGCCGGTTGTAGCACACCGCCCCAAGCGCGGAGTTGTGACCGGTGAATTCGAACTCGTCGTGGATCACCGCACTCTGGAACATGTCTGATGGATGGAGCTGAAGAAGGTTCCAGCAGAAGATAACATTGGAAAACTGCCAACATATTTTTAGGAGACCGGATGAAGGTATGTCGTCATTTTTTTACTTCCCTACAGCTAGCACTGTATCGATAGTATCAAGATCGATCGATGAGGTTACCAAAAACACCTACAGGGAGGGGGGGGGGGGTTGGAGGCCACCGCGCTGATATGGCCGGAATGTTCAGCTTCAGAGCACGCCACCAAAAGATTTCCAAAGTACCATCCGGGTGCAAAACGTTCACGCATGGTGATCGACAAAGATTGCCCATTAGTCGAGTTACACGGTTAGTCAGTGTTTCTATGGCCGATCGTTGAGCAGGTACGTGCCATGCTTTCCGCGTATAGATCAGTGGTTTGACAAAGCTCATTGCTTCTACATGACAGGAAGTTGCTGCTGCAGCTGGCCGCGCGGATGAATGGGTACAACCACGATTCATGTGCTGCTTAAGCAAGATTCGTGCGGGAGCTATCCGTTCGAGTGACTGAAAATGGACAAAACGTGTCTTTCGTGGAGATTTAAGGTGGTGCTGCCTAGGTGGCAAGATTTCAAGGGGGGCGACTTGTATCATTTCGAAATCTGTAACCTTCCACATACATCACCAACCAGACTTACAATTCACAATGGTCAAGATCTTCATCGTCGCTGTAACGTTTGCCGCCTTCACTGTGACCACCGTTTCGGCTGCTTCTGTCCCTGACGGAACATGGCCCACTAGCCAAG